TATCGGGGCAATGGACATCTATCTTTTCCAGCATAATGGGTCAAGCCCAATGGTTTCATCATCGCCCAAATGTTAGAAAACTAATGACAATAATGACATCATTTTCCAACAGGTGTCCTAACACGAAGTAGGCTCCTAATAAGTTAGGGATCGCATGGTTCAAGACTTCGGTAGCGAAAGAGCTGCTGGGTCGAAAGTACTCGATCTCGAGGACCCTAAACCCAAGGAGATCGTGAGAATCTGCCATAGATAGGCCCTGACATCCTCGGGTTTAGTGATCGGGTTTAGTAACATCAAAATTGGTATAATCAGGGATGAATAACATTATTCTTTCAATATACAAGCCCTCATGCAAGAAATATCAAACATGTAGCAAGTTTCGAGACCTTTTTTTTTTTGCAATAATCTTATTTGAATTTTATACCTAAAATTTAGCAATTGTTCTTATTAGTCAATATAACTCCGCCACCATCAACACTTCCATCATGCCTTATCGGGGCAATGGACATCTATCTTTTCCAGCATAATGGGTCAAGCCCAATGGTTTCATCATCGCCCAAATGTTAGAAAACTAATGACAATAATGACATCATTTTCCAACAGGTGTCCTAACACGAAGTAGGCTCCTAATAAGTTAGGGATCGCATGGTTCAAGACTTCGGTAGCGAAAGAGCTGTTGGGTCGAAAGTACTCGATCTCGAGGACCCTAAACCCAAGGAGATCGTGAGAATCTGCCATAGATGGGCCCTGACATCCTCGGGTTTAGTAACATCAAAATTGGTATAATCAGGGATGAATAACATTATTCTTTCAATATACAAGCCCTCATGCAAGAAATATCAAACATGTAGCAAGTTTCGAGACTTTTTTTTTTTTTCAATAATCTTATTTGAATTTTATACCTAAAATTTAGCAATTGTTCTTATTAGTCAATATAACTCCACCACCATCAACACTTCCATCATGCCCGACAAGGCCACCATACTTCAATATTCTAATCTCTTCGTCACTTCGTTTTGAAAAATAAAAAATAGCCATGAACCTAATTTACCTGTCTCAATTTTACTCCAATAAAATTGGCAAAAAAAATTGCCCGTAGAGTCCACACGGGATGGTATACCTGTACCCTTCCTTACCATAACCCGCGGACTAGGTGATTTCCCTCACTGGATAAACACAAACACGTACGACCTTTGAGTTTCACTTACCTCCCATGTTTTCTTTGGAAAGAAGAAAAGAAAATTAAAAAACATAATTAAAGAAATAATATGGAGAATCTCAATTAATATAAGAATAAGACCCCCATTCCTAAACAATTCTGTAAAGTAAGAGTGAAGCGTGGCTCACGTTGACGCGTGGATTTCATGTATGTAGATTGTATCTTCTCGCTGTTTTCTGTTTTAAGTCCCCGTAATTTCGCTTTAATACTATCATATTTTGATATTTTCAGTTAATTATAAGTTAGGGTGTTTCTATAATTTTATGTAGAGGAGTTTCTGCGGCTTACCTGGAACACTATTTGGAGGGTTTGGTGATTATACGCATAAACTATGGAGATTGTGATCAAGGTTCGTTTTTTTCTCGTTTTATGTGAATTTTTTGTTTTATATGCTATTTGTAATGGGTTTAGTTGCTTTTCGTGTTGTTTGTGATGTGAGTTGTTAATTTCTTGGTAATTTAATAGCGGTTCTTGATTGTGCTCTGTTTTTTTCAGTGATTATTATTTTTCTTTTTTGTGCCTTCCAACAGTTCCCTCTTTATCTTTCGTGTGTGTAGTAGTGAGTTCTACAAATTGTTTTACCAATTGCTTATTATGCTCATTTTGCAGAGTCTGGTTTTAATTAAACCCCACCTTCTAGCTTTGTTTTTCAAGCTTCTGTAGTGTTCATGAGCTAAATTAGTCGAGTTTGTAGGATTTGACCTTCTCTAGATCCCCCTTTTTTAATAGTTGGGGTTTGATTATGGGTATCATTGTCAGTGCTGACGGGATTCATATTTTTTATTTTTTGTCTCAATGTATGGTCTTATGTTTCTAACTATTTTTGTTCTCTAATTACTGTCTGAACTGTGTCTTAGAAGTTTCCCGGTTTTCTTCTTCAAATTTTAATTTCTCAGCTTCAAGTAGTTTTCTATTTTCAGCCTCCAATCCCAATTTTGTTTTGATGTAATGTTTAGCACAAGTGTGCTATGTTGTGCCGTCTAATGCTTTGTTGGGTTGTAAATAGTCCACGATGGAGCTAGACAAGTTAATGGATGTTTCTGGTGTCTGAATGTTTGTGGAAAAGCTTTATGAATGAATGCAACATGTTTCCAATGGGCCAATGATATAAAGTTTAAATCATAAGATACTCATACTTGACACCTTTTTACAGGTCAAGTACGGGGATACCTTAAGGCGCTTCAATGCAAGTGTTGTGGATCAGGAACTTGCTCTTAACATGGATGGACTGAGAGAGAAGATTCTTTCCCTCTTTAACTTTTCTCGTAATAAAGAGCTTACGCTAACTTATATTGACGAAGATGGTGATGTGGTGACACTTGTGGATGATGAAGATCTCCGTGATGTGGTGAGGCAGGCCCTAAATCCTTTGAGGATTACTGTGAAATTGAATGCTGAAAAGAGCAGCAGACCTTATACTCGGTCAAGTGGAAGTTCTACTCCCCTGACATCTCCTGGTGTCCAGCCACCTTTCCAAATGTTGAAGTCCAATATTTCTGAAATTTTGAAATCAGTACCAGAGCCTCTAGCTAAAGCACCAGGGATAGCTGAGCTGGTCGATAGCTTTTCAAAGACGGGATTGTCAGCTTACCTTAGTAAACTCTCGGAGTCCCAAATTTCTGGAAGCACCTCAGATGCAACAAAGACTAAAGATGCAGATTGTTCAAATGTTTCACCTGTCACATCGAAGGACTTTCAAACCACATCTGAAGAGCCATCCTTGAGAAGCAACAAGGATTTACCAAAACTTAAACCTGAGCACCAAATACGTTCTGACAAAATAAAACATGATAAGGTGATACCAGAAAAAGATTCTACAGAGTTAAATAAGCCCAGTGTTCCTCGCCTAGGACCGAAGCCCCCCAACATGGTTGGTTCCATTAAATATCCTGATTCTGAGAAGTGGTGCACTCCCAATGATGGGATAAAAAATGTGTTTCACAGTGGCATTGGGAAGTCTCGTGATTCGCATCTTGATCCTAGCTTCATTGTTGAATGTCCATTTGCCGGGATACCTCTGAGAAATGACTTTGATATGCCACCTCCATCTGGTTCTCATGGATGCCCGTTCAAAAGGAGCAATAGTCAGAGTGACAGTAATGCAATCTTCCATAGAGGTATCTGTTGTGATGGTTGTGGGGTTCATCCAATAGCCGGCATTAGGTTCAAGTCGAAAGTGTAAGATATTGTATATTTTTTTTATGAATTCATCTATTATAGGCAATTTTCAGACAATCACTCTTTTTGGTTGTTTCTGCAGTAAAGAGGACTACGATCTGTGCAGCATCTGCTTTGCAAAAATGGGAAATGACACTGACTACATCAGCATTGACCGTCCAGTGGCTTATCGGCACTCCTCTTTCAAGGGGCCTCGTCACTTTGTACGTACATTGCCATCTGTTTGTCCTCGTTTTTATAGTTTTCCTTTTTGCATAAATGGTTATCTTTCTATGTTAAGCTATATCTGGCTTATGTGATATTCTCAATTGCAGCATGAGCATTCTCCAACAATACCACCAGTCTTCAGGGGCTGCAAGGGCAGTGCACCTTTGAAGCTGGATAGTCGCTTCATTCAGGATGTGAATATCCTGGATGGTACTATTGTGGCTCCTTTGACCCCATTTACCAAGATTTGGCGGATGAGGAACAGTGGTACTCTTGTGTGGCCACAGAAAACAAAACTTGTATGGATTGGAGGGGACAAATTAGGTGATGTGTGTTCCGTTGAGGTTGAGGTGGGTTATCTTTTTAATTTATGTTTTTATCTGCATTTTCTTGCCGTCTGTTATGCATTCCCTTTATCTGCATCGCTTTCGTTTTCACTTCTTGTTTCTTCTTCAAAGCGGAAAGCACAAGTTGTTGGGATAACTTGGGTTATATACACTGTTGAATGGTGGTCAATTGTAACAGTATATATTTTTCACTCTTTGATACACTATTTTTCTACTCTTGTTTCTTTGGGTCCGATTTTTCTAGGAGCACTTTTTTCCTGTATTTATCTGTATACTTTATATAAATATTGTTCGTCATAAAAGAAAAGCAGTAACCATACTTAGATTTCTACCACGGCAGATTCCAGCAGCTGGTTTGGCTGTAGACCAGGAGCTTGATGTGGCAGTGGACTTTGTTGCTCCAGAGCTTCCTGGCCGCTATCTCTCATATTGGAGGATGGCCTCACCCGCTGGCCAAAAGTTTGGGCAACGTGTTTGGGTTCTCATCCAGGTTGGGTTGGCACCATATTATTATCCCTTGTTCACTCATGTTTTGCCGTATTATCTATGTATATATGGATTGATTTTCTCTGTGTTTATGAAGGTGGATACTTCTCCTACAGAGCCGTTACATGAAATTGTTCCCGGCTTGAACCTAAACCTGCCTCCCGTCAGCAATGGCGCAACAGTCCCTGAAATAATATATGAGGACTCCAACCCCGTAGTGGACAAGCACCATGAGCCTGACAACTCCGACAAGACATCTGAGTCTGGGCAACAAGTACTCGAGGTGCAACCAAACACTGAGCAGGATGTGAAATTCCCTACTAATAATAGCTTGTTGGTTGGCGGCGGCGAGTCGAGCTCTGTTCCATTTGCACCTCCTCCTTCTGGCTTATATCCTATTATCGATCTTTCTGAAGTAGAACCAGCATTGGCTCATCCAACTCTCTTTGTGCCTTCCGCTGCATCGACTGCTGTTATAAATGCTCAGGCGTCTGCTCAAGGAGTTATGGAAATGAATGAAGTTGAGGGAAAACTCCTCAGGGAACTTGAGGATATGGGTTTCAAACAGGTTGATCAGAACAAGGAGGTCTTGAGGACTAACGAGTATGACTTGGAGCTATCTGTGGATGAACTTTGTGGAGTTTTTGAATGGGATCCTATACTGGAGGAGCTGCAGGAGATGGTTCGTTTCTTGTTTCTCATTTACCAATATGACATGTTTGTTATGCTGAATTGGACAGTTCTGAATTAAGCACACCCATTCTCTTTTTTAAAAAAAAAATAAAAAATTATCTTCCTTCGTTTCAACCACACATTTTCAAATAAAATAATATTGCACACAAATCTAAATTTTTTCATCACATTTCCACCACACATTCTCCCATCAATAACTATTCCAAAATTTCTATTCTCTTCAAAATGGGTGCCAAACACTCACTAAAGAATAAAAACGAGTTTAAAAATCTTGTCTGTTATAATGTCCAACACTGTTCAATATAGTACCAAACATGCCTACATTGTACTATAATTATCCTCTGTTTCCTTCTAGCATTCTGTTTTTGCTTATGGTCGAATTCTTACTATTAATCACTGGCACGGGCCAATGATGCAGGGTTTCCAGGATACAGAAATGAACAAGAAACTGCTGAAGAAGAACAATGGAAGTATCAAGCGTGTGGTCATGGATCTTATTACTGGAGAGAGATAGTCAAGTAAAGATCAAGGTCCTAATAAACGTATGAAGTATAAATAGTTGGTGTTATCAATAAATGTGCGGTTAGAACTTGTTTTGGTATGTTACCTTCTGAATCTTAGTTTCTTGGTGCATTTCTATTTCCTTCTCTGAAACTTGGTGAACTTTAGTATTGTGTATAACTCGTCAAACGATGTTCATATATCTGTGTTTTAATCTAATACTATCTTGTTGGGGGTTCTATTTTGGCCGACCGTGCTTGTTTCTATATAAATAAATTGACCTCTACTAATAGTCCAATGATGTGCATATTAGCTTGTTTGATAACGTAGATTTTAGTATTTGACAGTATCTGGAATGAATTAGAGTTTAAATTCCATATCCTGCATTCCTCATGGCCACAATCTTCTCCACTTCATCAAATCTTCCAAGACTAGTCAGTGACCTATTAATCTGCTCTATATTTGTTTACAACCCTAAACACCAAATCAAGATCCGGAGGATGACGTGGTGAAACACTTTTACTAATGGCTTGAATGGGCTATCCATCATATGCTCGTACAGTTCCACTGTATCCCTTGACATCTTATTCTTCTGAAATTGCCTTAAAAACTTGTACATATCAAGATCCTTCTCAAAACCGGCAAACCGCCACTCTTTATCTCTGTAACTATACTCCAGAACTCCCGGATTAATCCATCACAACAAAGAACCTGCAAAATCCCATTATACGTAACAGCATTATGCTTGAAACCAAAACCTCCACCAATCCAAATAAAAAAATGCGAAAAGCGTTCAGAATCTTATTCCTCTAAGCTCTTTGAAAACCTGGGTGATTTTCAACTCCTCTAATTTCCTCTCCACCTCCTCCCCATTCTGCACTTTTAACTACTTGAGCGACCTCTTGCGCCAAATTATGCATAGCATTCTCTTTGATCTAGATTACTTATCGGAAAAAAAAAAAAAGCATTCTCTTTGATCAGCCTTCCATAATAATGTCTCAAAACAGTGGCCACATTTTCCATCTTTAAATTCCGAAAAATCCCGAACATTTGTCTTGTATGTTTCCTTATCAATATAGTACACTCTCTCTCATAACTGTGACCCAAAATTCCGTCAAAAAATCCTCGTTAGCATAAAATCTTAGCATCAAGCTATACATAGAAGAACTGGGTTCAATTCTCAAGAACCCATTTGAGAAGAGTGTACAAGAAGAGGAATTTTTCCTCCTGGGTAAAGCGTTTTAAAAAGGGGGTGAACAGACCCAGACCCAATTTAACCCATAATAAATTAATAATATTGTTTTACACTTTTCTGTTTATGCAAGATAAATTACTCAAACGTTAATATATACATGAGAAAGGAAATTTCAATTGGTGAGACATACTGCAATAATTAAACTTTAGCCAACTGAAGTAAGCTACTGCATAGTAAAATGAATTATTCAATGCATTGCATACACGACAGTTGAAACATAGTAATTTGCATTGATACAATAACTTCAACTGCCGATTTAAATTACCAACTTTATCTACTATGAACACATAGATGACACGCAATGAAAAGAACATAAAACCATGCCTTGAAGTTAAATCTAATGACAAGTATGATGAACTACATAGAATTATTCCAGCTATGTATGAGGAAATAGTTGATGCCGTGTCCAATCCATAAGGGATTCACCAGAGGCCACCATTTTAATCAGCAGTCAGCATCAATGAAGTAAGGACCAATCAACAAAAATTGACAAATTCTAAAGATATATTAGTACAAGCAACAAAACATACATTCCTACTGAAAGTGCTGATGAATTTGAAGAACTGCAGACCAAAGGACATCCCAACTGGTCTGCAGGAAGTTCTCATTTCATTTGAATAAGTAGAATAATTTCAAAGGCCACTAGCTGCTTAAAACTACTACTGCTCCATGAAAGTACATCAAAATGAGTTTACAAATAACACAGTTTTTTTTTTTTTTTTTCCCCTAAAGGCCACCAAATCATTGAACTTGCAGAAGAAAACTCTCAATTATTACTGAAAGCAGAAAGACTTAACAATGTCGTTATTATACAAGTTGCTCAAAAAGCAATGAACAAAACATAAGACACTTCCATTGAATTATCACAACAATTAACTGAAATTAATACACTAATGCATAACAAAAGTAACACCAAAGAAAGCCCATATATTAAATTAAATTCAAGACTTTGCAGCCAAAGGAGAAATAATTTCACAAAATCATGGATATATCACCAAGTGAAGCATGGTGGCTCGTGTATTTGATGGCTCACTCAACAATCTCCTGAATGACACCAGCACCGACTGTCTTTCCTCCCTCTCGGATAGCAAACCTCATCCCTTGCTCACAAGCAACTGGCATAATAAGCTCGACCACCATCTTCACTCGGTCGCCAGGCATCACCATCTTCGATTCTTCATCCTTGTCATTCATGATCGTGGACACCCTCCCTGTCACATCAGTAGTCCTCATGTAAAACTGTGGTCTGTACCCCGCAAAAAAGGGGGAATGCCTTCCACCCTCCTCCTTCTTCAACACATATACAATGGCTGTAAACTTTGTGTGTGGAGTTATAGTCCCAGGTTTAGACAAAACCATCCCCCTCTGAATATCTACCTTCTGAATACCTCTCAACAACAAACCGACATTGTCCCCAGCCATCGCCTCGTCCAAAGTCTTTTGAAACATCTCAACGCCAGTCACAGTAGTATTCCTAGTCTCTCTCAATCCGACAATATCCACAGTCTCACCAATCCTAATTTTTCCTCTCTCTACCCTCCCGGTAGCTACAGTTCCTCTACCTGTGATAGTAAAAACATCCTCAATAGCCATCAAGAACGGCAAATCAGTCTGCCTTTGAGGAATAGGAATATAATCATCAACGGCATCCATCAATTCGTAAATCTTATCAACCCATTCGTTTTCACCCCTTTTAATCCCTGGATTCGCCATTAATGCCTCTAAAGCTAGTAAAGCAGAGCCCGAAACAATTGGAATATCATCACCAGGAAATTCATATGAAGACAACAATTCCCTTACCTCAAGTTCAACTAATTGAAGCAGCTCTTCATCATCAACCTGGTCTTGTTTGTTCAAGAAAACCACCATATTCGGCACCCCAACTTGTTTAGCAAGCAGAATGTGCTCTTTCGTCTGGGGCATAGGCCCATCTGCCCCTGACACCACCAAAATAGCACCATCCATTTGTGCAGCACCGGTAATCATGTTCTTAACATAATCAGCATGTCCAGGACAATCCACATGGGCATAGTGGCGGTTCTCAGTCTCGTATTCCACAGTAGCAGTATTAATGGTAATACCACGGGCGCGTTCTTCTGGGGCGGCATCAATTTCGTCGTACTTTTTAGGGGCGGAGCCTCCAAGTGAGGCCAAGGCCATAGTCAGAGCAGCAGTAAGAGTGGTCTTTCCATGGTCGACGTGGCCAATTGTTCCAATATTGACATGGGGTTTCTTCCGCTCGAATTTTCCCCTAGCGGCCCTGACTGTAAATCTTCGGTGAGACCGGTGGGTGGCGGCGGCAGCGGCGGCGGGATGGACAGAAAGGGTAGATAAAGAAGGGGTAAATGAAGAGGAAAACACAATTTTTGTGGATTTTGAAGAACTGGGTGTAAGGGAGGGACCAGATGAAGAAGACTGGGTGTAAGCGTATGAAAGTCTTGAAGAGGCAGTTGCGGCCGCAGCGGCGGCTGAAATTGAAGCCATAGACGAAGGATTAGGTACAGACTTAAAAAAAAGGAATTTGTAGAGAGACAGTGTGTGTGTGTTTTAGAGAGAGAGAGAGAGGGAGAGGGTGTGAGGGTTTGTGTGTGGTGTGTTGAAGGGATAACGGTGTATCTATGAGAAGAGGAAACAGGATCCCAAAAGGGTGATTTGATCCATTTCTACCATAAGATAAATTTAGGGTGTATTGTGATCGGCGGGAGCATGGGATTTCTGTGCTATTCAGGTGTTATGATGCCACGTGTAATATCAGGTCAACTGGTTCTTGGACTCTAGTGTAACTCAACCATGTTTGCGAAACTTACTGGGGCGTTTGATACACATTGTTGAGAAAAAAATGCATTTTATGATGTGATGTAATGAAAAATATGTGGTTTAAAAATAAAGAAAAATTTTAGATTTACGTGTAATATTATTTTATTGAAAAATTTAATTGAAAATGAGTATTAAAAAAATGAATTTTGAGAAGAATGTAGATTAAACAGATTGATTATCAAATTTATTTCAGTAGTACCCACTTTCATTTTAGCACACAACAAAAAGGTTTCATTTTAATGGCCAAAGGGAAAGAAAGTGATTGGAAAAGATTTGAAGTGCAGACCCAAAAACAAATGAGTCTATGTTTAAGCCACGTTTATAGTGTCACGTTCTCTAGTATATTTGGTGGTTAGTATAGATAGTAATATTAGCCAATAATGTTCTTTTCTATTTGGAAAATGCCATTTATACACTCCTATATCATATTTGACACTGATTTTTTTTTAAAAAAATTATTGGATGTCGAACGCCAAGCATGATTGTTTATATTTCTAGCAAGTAGCAACAAGTTAGTTGTCTTAAATCTAACTGCAAGAGCCTTCGACTTGATTTAGTCACCGCCTTCACTCGAGCTTTGATTTTTGTAAACTTGGACTCAACCTCCCACTCTCTCTACAAGTTAGTTGTCTTTAATCTAACTGCAAGTGCCTTCGACTTGATTTAGTCACCGCCTTCTCTCGAGCTTTGATTTTTGTTAACTTGGACTCAACCTCCCTCTCTCTCTCTCTCAGAGTACATTCTTGACCTTTTGAGCTCTATTTTCTCGGGACTCATTGTTGTGAGACTATTTTTTGCAGTTGTACGAAAGTAATCTTACTTCATTCGACTACCTTCAACCAACTTCCATCAAGAGTCTAGACATGACATCATCACCCACAAGGCTTACTAGCATGTAAGGCGGTGTTTGAGCCACATAATTTTGGAATAGTAGATTGATGGAGAATGTGTGGTTGAAAAAGAAGGAAAAGTTATTGATATAATGTAAAATATTATTTTATTGAAGAATGTATAGTTGAAAATGAGTAGAAGAATGAGAATGAAAATTTTTTTAAGGTGGGTTTGATTGAAAGAATATATTTTAAATAGTGATATGATGTGAAATATGTGGTTAAAAAGTAAAAAAAAATTATTGATGTGATGGAAAATATTATTTTATTGAATAATGTATAGTTGAAAATGAGTAGAAGAATGAGAATGAGAATTTTAATGTGTATCAAACATGAGCTAAATACCCAAATAGATACACTTATTGCTGGCCTATTCGCAATGCACATGTTCTAGCGCACACATGCTCATGCACAACATACGGTCATCTCAAAGCAAACTCGCATGAAAGGAGCTCTCTTAAAGCTGGTTGGACAATAGATAAATAGGAATCTTCTCGTGTCCAACACAGACTATGTAACGAAACAGTAGCAATGCATTGAACTGATGTTCATTGGAAAGACCCCTGTATGGACTATTTTTTATGAAAAAAAAAATCCATTTTTCTATTGTTTTCAATCAGACGTTTAACTTAAAAAAATTTTCTTATTTCCTAACCACGCATTCTTTTTTGAAAAAAAATACACTATTCCAAAATACATTTTCACCAAAATATATTTTCAATGAAGACCAAACAAGGGCTATACTATATCCTTGGATTTAGCCCCCGTTATCCCAAAAATTTATTCTTCTCTTATTCTCAACTACACAATCCACCATAAAATAATATAATATTACACGTAAAAAAAAAACTTCCAACTTTTTTTTTTTGGTTGAATAGCCTCATTCAAATTTATATCAATGACTTCCACCATCCACAACCTCCTCAAACAAAGGAACGCATTATATAAATAATGTCTATCTGTGTGATAAGGTTGTGCGCGAGTCGAGAAAAAGGATTGTGAGATGCACTAAGGATGTACAAATTCAACACGGGTCATTATGTCATTAGATTTCACTGAGAATACTCAATGAAACAATAAAATTAGTGAGATCCAGTTGGGGCACAGAGTATCATTAAAGCAAGGACATGTACAAAGCTCAAGTAGAAAAGAAAAAAGAAAAAACACTATATACTTCTGTAGAATGGCCATACAACAGAAATCATCCAGGCAATGACGAGATTCATCAGACTTCCCTCGCGCGCCTTCCAACTCGTACCAAAGAAATCAGCCACGTAGCTCTGTGTTTTGCCCGGGTAAACACACTTGATGTCTTCACCTTAAATTGCATTTCACAATCTTCCCTGGAATGTCTCAAGTCTAATCGTTTTTCATATTCTTCTAAGATGATCCCTGGTGAAAAAAGGATGCTCGAGGGCATCGCGAGCTGACAATCGCTCTGATGGGTCGTATCTAAGCAGCCCTTGTAATAGATGAATGAGATCTCCGGCTGAATGATCTACGTGCCGCATGATTAGGTTCTGAAGGCGAGGCAACTCTAGAACAGCTTTCACACTGTCTCTCGACGGAGCTCCTTCTGGCCAGTTGAGTCTACCCCTTCTAACATATTTCTCGGCTTGTCTGCTGTAAATATAGAATAGCAATGAGTAAACCAACAATCCTAGACAATAAGCATTCTTGGCAAAGCTTAATTTGTTTTGAAATAAATAAATAATTTGATTTATTAGTCAAAGTTCGAAATAAGTTACTTATTTCCACTTAATATTTTGATAGTAACTTATTTAAACTTGAAAAGGAAAATCGTAATTTATCCAAAAACATGTTTGGTAACAAAAGATTCTTGAAATCAACTTTCAGTTTTCATATGTTTAAAGCCAATATCCAGTCCTTTCTGACATGAATAAGAAGCATGAATGAAAACATACTCGGCATTTTTTAACATATGGCGAGGCAGTGGTCCAAGAACCCGCTCCATCATTGCAAGGTGCTCCAGATTCTCATGTGTCTGGAACAATGCTTCTCCCTGGGGTACCATCGCAGGCAAAAAACGTGAATTGTGCTAAATTTCGATATTATTGCCACGGCTGAAACCCAACATCCCAAAAATATAAATCAAATAGGAAGGAAGGAAAATAACATACCGAGCATAGCTCCACTAAGATACAACCGACACTCCATATGTCACACGGGTAACTCCACCCAAGTCCTATTTAAGGCAAAAATCAAATAAATTAGTTTGAATCTAAATAATCAAATAATAGAAGAGCATGAAACATGAAACCAACTCCAACATTATAGCTCAACACCTTTACCTAGAATGACTTCGGGTGCGCGGTAATGTCTGGTGGATACTACGTAGGTCTGATTCTTTCTTTCAAATGTTGTGCTACCAAAATCAATTACTTTGATAGCACTTGATTTAGGTATTCTTTTATAGTACAAGGCATCCTTTGGGGACCTTGAAGAACCCTAAAAGCAGCAAAAGTGTATTAAGTCCAAGGTGGCATAAAGACACACAAACAAAAACAGTGCCCAGATTAAATTTTCGGTCCAGAGAAAGAAAACAAGCCATCGCCAAATATGCATAAAGAATCAACTCTGAAAAGCTGAAAAAGTACACAATTCTATCTTCCAAGGCATAAATGTATTCAAACGTGAAGTTGGTCAGGACACAAATAATAAAGAAAAAAAATTACCTTGTAATCAGGAACTTTTTTGTATTCTGGCGAGACAAGGAGAATATTCTCAGGCTTCATATCAGTATGGATTAGGCGCAAATCATGCATGACTGCAAAATATTTGGAGCAAAAATTAATGCTAGGTGAGGATCGAGCAATTATAAAATACCAAACTGTAGATTATTACTACTAAGAAGAGATACTGTTTCCCATAGTAATATATAAATGCTCCCAAAACATTAAATATAAAGAGATAGTTTTAAGGAATTTAGATCAGCATTGATGTTCTAAAGTATTAAAAATGTCACATCTAAAACATGTATTATCGATGAAGAGAACTATTACACACATGCTATACATTCCAACAGCTGTCTGCCAATCTCACGGACAAGGTCAATGGGAAATGAGCGATAATTGTTTTTCCGTAAAAAATCATATAAGCTTGGTCCAAGCTTCTCAAAGACCTGTTAAGACCATTTGAATTCATCCACAATCTTAATCTTGAAATATTTGTTACACTTGGGAAACTAATCCACCAAATTATTGATCATATACTTACAATACAGATATGGTTACGATAGTCAAACCAGTTCCGTATTTGTACACAACTGCAAAGAATAAACCAGTTCAACCAATGACAATCACAAAAGCCATAGAACTAGCAGTATAAGACAAAGCTCCAAGGAAAATTTGCACTCACCGATTGCCACCTTTATCGTGTCCTCCAAGTAGCTGGAGCACTTCCACTTCAATCATAGCTGCATCACGATACTTCTTAATACCTCGAACGATTTTGATGGCAACCATTTCTTCTTTTTCCCGATCCCAGCACTCCAGGACCTGACCAAAAGTACCTGCGAATAAAAGTTCGGTTTAGAAAGCAGAACAGAGGCAACAATCCCAGTTCAAGCAGACAACTCCCTCCTTTTTAAGTTTAGGGGTTTACCTTCACCCATCTTGCTGTGTATTTTATCTGCAAATATATCACAGAAATACAACAATTAGAGAAAGTGATTCCATCAGCCAAAAAAACTATATATGAAACAAGGAACCTACTACGGGTCCTATTATTCAAAACCAGGTAATTTCAAGTTCTTAA